TGTAAAATTGTTAAAAGTGGGTGTTTTCACTGGTAACCCCAAAACAGACATTAATGAGGCTGGAGCAACACACCAGACAGAACTGGACAAATCTTCCTTTGTGTCTGTTAGTCACAGCTAAATGCTTTTTAACTGAAAACAAGAGCACAGCGTAGGAATAAGCAGTGGGTTTCATGAGCTTGGAGAGAAGTCTGTGGCTAGCGTTTGGGAAAGAAAAAACCCTCCCCAAAACAAGCTTCCTTTTTGGAAATGGTCCTTGTAGTAGAGATCTGCTGAGAAGCAGAAAATATCCTAATATCCTGTGATGAAGCCTGTATGAATATTTGTACTTGGATGCCCTGTACTTGACTTCGGTCCAAATCTCTGTCTGATTCCCAAGGGAAGGTCTTTTAAGAAAGATGTTCGCTCTTACTTGCCATGATTCCAAAATAACAACGCAGAGCTCTGCTCTTTTAACATTACCCCACAGTACCAAGATCTTGTGCAAATAAGTAGGATAAGGATTTGTAAAACCAACATATCACAGAAGCTAGGCTAATATCACAACTGACCTAATCTTGTGGGCAGCAAGTAGGAATCTTTCCTGCAGTGCATACATTTGATTTTTATCGGTGTATCTTTAAATGTATCAGTTCAAATGTACCAGTCATCTTCCCACAGCTAAATAAGAACACAACACAGCAATAACTACACTCATTACTTTTTTTCCTCAGCCTTGTAAAAGGGCGATTTTCATTGCACTGAAAACATCCTACATAGCTTGGACCTCCTGCTAGATCTGTCAGCAATGAATCAGCCTGTCCAATACCGTGACCTCTCTAAGAGAGAATCTGTCCAATATATCTTTCTATTACAGTTCCTTTTGTGCATGTTACACATCCTTTCTGCTGTATTTCCTAAAGTGATGAAAATGTCTTCTGACTACAGACCCATTTGCACTGCCAACTTCTGAACATTTCTTCTGCAGGAGGGAACACTGTCTGATAAGAGATACAGCGTTTTGCAATAAGCAGTGCATAAAAGTAGCAAACTGGAATCAGCACCATTGATCTCTATAGATGAAAGCTTCTTAATAAATGGTTTTAAAGTGAAGGAAAAGTTTACTTTCATTTTTCAGAGACGTTCTTTCTTACTACAAACTATGTTCCTACAATAGATACACAAAGTATCCCAAGAACACACAGCATGATGTTACCAAAACCTTCACTAGTGCCTTGACTTAACAGGTACATCATACTACAGCTTTTTGTTGTCAAATGCATGCTTAGCATCCCAGTTTCCCTCCCTCAGCAAGTGCCCTTTCAAATCACAGTTGTATCGTACTGCCTGTACACAGCATGAACTCAGTAGAAATGTCATTAAGAAAACAACAACAACAACAACAATACATGTGCCAGGAGAATTTCAAACAATTCCAGATCCATTCCAGTTAAAAGAAATGGAAATCTGGGATGGTAGAAGGAATAGGCCTTCTCTATTCCAGTGGTCTGAATTAACCAGATTAGGACTAAGTGAAAAGGAGATTATATGACGTGTGCAGAAAACAAGGGAGCATTGACTGTCTCTCCAGTAGGCTGCACCCTTTTGCTTCAGTGCCCACTGGAGAATCTCTGATACGTTTCTGGAAACAACAACACATCTCACAACCGGTCTGTGCTATCAGCACTGGGGACTGGTGCAACTGAGGTAAGAGGAAGTAAAATATGCAGACAGTCAGCCTGTGATGATCTCTAAGTAGAACCACTAGGTTAGGCATGAACAGAGCTATAGGCACAGAGACATCCACAACAGCTTCCCCTGAGTCCATGTAGGTTGAAAACTGATCGTGATGAGTTTACACAATTTATTAGCTGGTGGATTTACCATTGAGGTCAGCAGTAACTCTGGATCTCTGTGGTTCACAGTATAATGGATCTTTCATTTCCTTTATGTCCTCACTGCCCGTCCTTGCAGATGAGTTTACCTAAGTTTCCTATTACCAATGGCTTTGTTTCATTTCAGCAAAATAAAATATTAAAATAGTAAAATGTAATAGAAGCAATACTATTAGTCAGATACATTGAGAAATCCATTTTAACACAGCAGTTTTCAACCTATGGTTCACTAAATAGAAGATCTGTGAGAAGTAAATAAAAGGGAAGCAAACTGCCACGACCCTTCAGTGTGCTGTGTAAGGACTTGCTCTTCCATTGGAAAACATTTAGGAGGAATCCAGAAGAGTTTGAAAAGCACAGCTGTAACATAATAATATGTATATCCCTAGACACTTTCTAATGGTTACAATGCTCCTGTGCTTGTGCTAGACTTGTGGGAAATGAATATTAACCAGTCTTTGCATGTGCTTAAGCACCTGCCCTGGTTAGAAAAGGCTTTTAAATATTACTTGAAGACATTGCTGTCTTTCTGCTGATGACCTTGAACACATTTGTTAATTGAGTTCTTCCAGTCAGTCATATTTTTAGGGAGGAAATGCCAGGAAAGAGAAATTAAAGGGGTTTCCAGGGATTGGCGAGTTTCAGGTTTGGAGGAGAAATGGGCATTGCAGCCATGTGGGGATAACAGAAGAAGAAGTCGGGTAAGGTGGAGAGGTAATTACACAGCATGCTTTGCTTGAGAGAAGACAACTACAAAGATCTTTGTCCACTACAGTAGGTATTGCCTTCAAAACCAGAAATAGGGTCCTCAGTTCTAGGTGTTATCCAAGGAGTTTGTGAGGTGTACTGGCAAAGTGCATGTTTTACAGCTCAGAAATTTGATTCATACACAAGAAGACAATCCATTCCTGTCTAGAGCTGCTGCTGTTGCTGGAACTTTCTGTTGGGACAAAAAAGCTTTCTTTTTTTGACAAACCATTTTGGAAAATGAAAGCTTGTCTGGGAAAAGTGAAATGGAACATTTCAGTAGCATCCAATGTTTGATACCTGATACCTGGGAGCAGAAACAGGGTAGGGTGCTACAGGAAAAAAAAAAGATCTCCAGAAGAAGAATATTACCCTGGAGTATTAGATTTTATCCTTCTAAGTGCCATGAAATTAGAAGTCACATAAACCAGACTGGAACTGAATCACAATCTGTATTACTGTGCTGTGGGAAATACAGATACGTTATTTTATTTTATTTTACTTTACGTCATTTCCCAGATTTGAAATACCAAAAAAAAAAAGGGGGGGGGGGAATATCAAAATCACACAGCATTAAATGTGTCTAAAAATGATTATTTGGAAATGCAAAATATTGTATTTCAGTTTATGGAGAGCTCCACAAATCATTTTATCCCCTGTTCCTTGAACTGAATAGCTTCTGAATTCGCCCTAAGTTACAACCTTGTCCCCTGTAGTGCCATATTACTGCTGGCTGTTACAGCTGAGGTACAAATCAGCGTTTACCCTAGCATTTATGCCAGACTGACAGAGAGAGGTCCCTGGCTGGACTATCTCTCTGCCTGTGACTTTCTGTATGGCACCATTAGAGGGGAAACAACTTGCTTTAATGGAGAACTCACTCTGGAAAGGAAGATTGGCCCATAGGATTGATGAACAGGACATCTAACATTTAAGTAGCTAAAGGTAGGTGAGATGAAAACCCTCCCTGTGACACAGGCCCAGCAAGGGAATTTATCTGAAATTCTTGTGAACAAACTGAGGCTCAAAAGGCAAAGGCCAGTCAGTAATGTCACAGGGGCTAATTCAGTTCTCCATCTTTTGGGACTGGGTGCAGCTCAGATGGAATTGGTGGGACTACACCAGCTTAGCTTCTCACCCCTGTATGAAGTTGTCTCTACTTTTTGCAACGTGGTTGTCATTGCTGCAAAACAAAAGTAAATCAGCATGTGCAAGAAAACTCTTACTGCATTAGCACAGTTTTATTTTCCAGGCTTAATACATTTTGCAAGAAGACCTTAATAATTTACCAAGGAGTGGCATGTAAGAATCATTTCTCTGTGAAAGTAATGAATCAGTATCTAAGAGGATTCCCTTTCTTTAAAACAAGTTAGAGAAGTAAGACACTTACTGTAAACTGTATCTGGCAGCCTCCCATGATATAATCTAAGAAAGAATGCATCTTGTGGATCTGCAGACAAGAAACCAAGACATTCAAATTAGCTGTGTACTGCTAAAAGATCAGAGAACTGCCTGAAAAAAGTAAATTGGAAGGAGGAAAGAGACCAACTGAAAATAAGGTAAAGAAAGCAAGCATTAAATATAGTTTGAGACAGAAACAAAAATGTAAGCAGAGAAAATATCAAAATTCTAAAATTACAGAAAGGAAAATTCACATCAAAAGCAGAACCAAGCTCTGCTCCTTCTCAGTGGGAACTCAGTGAAAATTTTGCTATTGGTTTAGGAGGAACAAGAGCAATATTGTAGAAATGATGGACGCATTAGAAGGGAAACACACAAAAGGCCAGTTGGCAAGCCTGTAGGTGCAAAAGTTTAGTACGGCCTGTTCCACTGCACAACAGCAGGGATAGCAGAAGAGAAATGAAAAAGGAGAGTTGGGGGCAGTCAGCTTACTTTTGGGATTCAAGTCCTTGTCTTTACTTTTTGTAGCGGATCAGTTTCTATTGCTATTCTACAGGCAGTTCCACTTTGTTGTCTACATTTCCAAACACCATTTAAAATATATTGCTGAGAGCTTAGTAAAGAAACAGCCGAGGAACAAAACACGTATTTACCTTGCACTGGTTAAGGATGACAATGCCTGAGTTCTTGTAATTCTTCTTCTTTGCTTTGTACTTGGGGTTAATGCATTCCCATTGTACCTGTGAAAAACGGCAGTCACTGCTTGAAGGAAAATTTATGTACAAATTGTATAATTAACAAAAATAGCACTGTCTGATTTCCACAGTTGACTAAATCCTATCAAATAAGGGTGCACATAGAAGAAAAAATGAAAACCATTAACTACACAGAGAATGATCTTAACAGAAAAAGGCCCAGGGCAAACATCTGTCTTCAAACATATACGTGTGGACACAGCACTGAGAGCGATATCCAGATTCGTGTATTGTCGTCTTCTAGTCTTGTAGGCTCAGGTGTTACATAAACAAGATTGAGAATCTTCTGAGATCATTTAAGAGGAGAAAAAAAGAGGGAACTTAATACAAATGAAAATACGGGAGGGAGCAACCTGATGCATTGCATTAACTACAAAGCTGCCTATGCAGTAACACTGGTGTTCTGTATTAAACTCATGATTAGAGAAATTCTGATCAGAGATTCTCTCTCTCTCTTGAAAGAGAGCAATAGTTTCTCCTTTAAGTCTGATAGTAAAATAAAAAATTAAGAAAATCACTTAAAAGTGCACAAAGATGCAGTTAACTAATTACTGATATATTTGAAAATAATCCCTAAGAATATATTAAAACCCTTTTTTGGAAATGTTCTGATTAGTTTTATTTACAAATAGTTAATTTTACAGCAAAATAGTCCTATCTTGTTACTGAAATACATTGTCTTGTTCCCATCATAACATCTCCCAGAGTCTTACTAATTTCCACTTCAAATGTTCTGCCCTTCTCTGGTTTCAGGCAGACTGGTAAGGCCAAGCTTTCGGACCCTGACCTCTAATGAGTACATATTATTCATGCCTTTTACTGCAGGACTAATATATATATTTGTACATGCAAGTATCTATTGGCATTTGTAAATCCAGATTTGTATAGGTAATGTGTTATTAAATATGGTTAAGAACACTACTATATCCTTTCAGGGCATTGTTTTCAAGTGCTGGGAGAAAACATGTGAGCTGCTAATGTTATGTTGGGTAACATAAAGAATGTATCTCCAAAGGGAACCAGGATGGTGTATTATCTAAAAATCCCTACTATGACATTTTGAAATTAAACATATCTGTCTTAAGTGTTACAATACTTTGTCTATAGTGAAGACCTTCATATAAGATCTGAGCAAGGTGTTTGAGCACGTAAAATAATTTTTACCTTATGAACAGCCCCAGCAATTTCACCGAGTTTCAAACCTTTGCCAAACAGCAATTACTTGGATGTCTCTGAAGTATTTCAAACTTAGAGCTTTTGTCAAATGTCAAAAAAGGGAAGGCAAAACATATGGCTTTGGAGCAATAAGAGACCTTTTTTGCACAGGAGAGGAGGAGTATTTTCATCCCTGTGTTACTGGAGACAGGTGACAGAGTGAAGAATGGGAAAAGACAAAAAATGTTCCAACTACAGGAAGCACATCTGCCTGCTCTCCCAGTTAGCCTACAGCTCAATTATTTGTCTTGCGAAATGAATTTTCCAACTGAGAAGTCAGGCAGACACAGGCCCACATGTTCAGGGGAAATCCTCCATAAACATTTTTTCTCTACTCAAAAGCAGCAGTTAGGCTTAAGAAAGCCCTTCTCTCCAAGTAAAGAGAGCGCTCTGTGACACAACGCCAGAGTGCAATAAGCTCATATTTGGGAAAGCAATCTGACAGCAAGGCAAAAGCACTGCCCACTCGCATCTTGATACGTTGCTGTCTGGCAAAATGGTTTAGGATACAGTTGTCTCCAAACTTACTGGAAGCACTCCTACAGAGAAATTGTGCTGTCTATATATTATAAACTGTAATATATCGAATAGAGAGGAATAATAGGAGTTGGGATTTGTGTTCCTCCCTTTGACACCAAACTACACTGGAGAGACGTCATTGCTTTCCCCTGAACATTCACTTCCTTAATTTTACCATCCTCCAACACGAACACTTTTCAATGTGTATGTTTAAACAAGGCCTGACCTATATGAACACTTACACTATGCAAACAGTTCCTCTCCTCGGGAAAAGGATTATTTAAGCCTGATAAACCTTATGTTCATGTAATCGGTTTCTGGAAGTTTACACTATATAAGGACCGAAGTAGCACAAAACACTACCTCAGGGGACAAAAATCTGTGCCTGTGGCCAGCCTCTCAGCTTCTCTCTGCTAACTGTAAAATGCAACTAGGAATGTTCACCTACCTTTGCAATGCATTTTGAGACGTATGGGTAACAATTCTCAGCAACTATCCAAAGCTCATTAAAATATTCCATGTGCAAGTCACTAACATGTCATTGGCTGATGTAAATAAAGCAAAGGAAAGAACAGACTAGCTGTCCTGGTTTCGGCTGGGATAGAGTTAATTTTC